TTGAGCACAAAGAAATTGCTTGATGTTATTGACTAAGGGGAAAAAAAAAAAAGGTAATCGGCCAGATTGTACCTCTGGGTAAATTACTCTGTGGGATTGAGTTTGTTTGGAGGCCGTGCTGATAGGAATTAGGAATTTGGGGATATAGTCCTGAACAACGAATGAGGGCCCTGAAAGGTTTACGCCCTATCAGGAACCATAGCCACGTCTGGCCAAATTGTAGTTTTTCTCAAAATAGGGTTACAGAATCTACTGGAAAGGTCCAGTGTTCATATCTATCTGGAGACTGCTGCAAACAAACAGCTCTTTAGTTCTTGGTAAGAACAGAGACTATTGGGCCAGATTTCTGGCCCTTAAGAAACACGGCGTCTGGTTCCATTTGGCAGGAAATTTAATTTGGTGTGGAATTGTAGCCAGACTTCTTGGAGAAATACCAGTATATATTTCAAATGTATCGCATCCAAAACTTATTGCAAAAAGTGATGTCCATGTAGTCTCCCAATTCTATTAATAGTCATTTCAATACTATATACATATTCACAGTGCAGTTTTCAGCAGTATGTAGTAAATACTTGACTCTGTAGTTCCTGAATTTGTGGCCAGAAACATTGATGTAAAATCGGGAGACATTCGTTGTAGTCTGCTGTTTATTTAAATTGCAGGCGGGGAAGCAGGACGTGCTGTCGTTTCCTAACCAGCTACGAAGTAGGTTGTTGTATAATTCACCTTTTAGAACGTGGCACCTGCAGTGTACCGGACACTCAGTTCAAGAGTAAACACCTCGTTAGAACTTAAATAGGTGGGAAAGAAGTTCAGGCATGAAGACACAGCAATGCAAGAGAAAGGTTGACTTAGGTGGCCTGAAAGGTGCCTTCATCTTGGCAAAATGATACCCAAGGGCAGAGTGTGATAACAGTTCACAAATACTTAAGAAATGGAAAGATTGCCCTGACCGGTGTGGTACAGTTGGCTGGGCCTCGTTCTGCAGAGTGAAAGGCCACCGGTTTGATCCCCGGTCAGGGCACATGCCTGGGCTGCGGGTTCGGTCCTTTGTTGTTGCACACATCAACAACCAAGGAGAGGCGACCAGTTGATGTTTCTGTCTCTCTCTCTTTCCCTCCCTTCCCATCTGTCTAAAAATAAATAAAATATATATTTTTTAAAGTGGAAAGACCAAAGAGGGGAAAGAATTCTTTTCCTTTGTTATTACAAGTAATGGGAAGAAACATAGAAAGGTTTGGGACTGAAAATCAGGTGAGCTCTCTGGCAAGAAAAATTGGTCATGAGTGGACTAAAGTCTCCGAGCGCAGAGGCGTTCACACTGGCATGTAATGGTACAAGACACATCTTAACAGCGGCTGAGAGAGCATCTGAATGGGAGAGAATATTTCATTGACAGCCACTCTCTGGAGGATTTCTCCTTTTGCCATTTACAAAACTCCTTTTTCTTCTGTGGTCCAGAAAGAAGACTTGATCCTTCTTACATTTCTGTGTTCATACCCTGACTCGTTCCATGACTGACCTGATATTTTTGGAAGAAGCAAAGGAGAATTCAAAAGCTTTTAAGCTTACACAGTGTGAAAGCAGCCTAATTTTCTTTTGCTTGTTTTTGTTTTTCTTTTAGTCCTTTTTCTTAATCTACCTTAAGGTAGAATTTTCAAGCCACAGAATGGTAGCTGCGCGTAGGATCCACCCCTCACTGGTGTTGGAACTCGAAGACCGAAGTGTAAACTGTGGCTCAAGTACCGGTTCACTGGTCACCGGAGCAAGTCGCTCCGGGTTCCTCAAATAAGGAGACAGTAATACTGTCGTGCACGTTGTAGAGATGAAGTGAAGTCACGAGTGGGAAAATGCTTTGTACCATGTAATGGTTTTAGTTACTAACGTTTGCATTAGGTTTCTCTTGCTGCTGTACACATTCCACCACAAACTTAGTGCTGAACTCGACACAGATTTATCTCGGAGTTCTGTAGTTGGCAGAAGTCTGGGTGGGGTCAGCTGGATTTTCAGCCCCAGGTCTCACGAGGCCAAAGTCAAGGTGTCAGCAGCCCAGGGCTCTTACCTGGAGGCTCTGGGGGAGAACCTGCTCCACGCTCATTCAGGATGTTGGCAGAATTCAGTTCTGTGCGGCTGTGGGGCTGAAGTCTCCGTATCCTTGCTGGCAGCCTGTAGTTCTCAGCTTCTAGAGGCTGCCTGCATCCCCTTCATCTTCAAAGCTAGATGAGTCCTCACATTTCAGATCTCTCTGATGTCCCCTTCTGCCTCATCTCTCCTGCCTCCAGCCAGATAAACTTCTGTTTGTAAGAGCTTGTGTGATTAGGTCAGGCCCACCAGGATCATCTCCCCATTGGACGGTCCATAACCTTAAGTACAACTGCAGAGTCCCTTTTGCTGTGTAGTGTAACACTCACAGGCTCTGCAGAGGAGGGTGTGGGCATCTCTGGAGGTTCTTTTCAGGGCTAGAAAGGGACCTTACAGGACATCAGGTTCTTGCCCTGGAGGGTTTAACAATCCAGCAGGGGACAGAGAGGAAAACATGCACAGTGGAAGAAGTCCAACGGTAGTTTGTGGGGGGTGTTCTAGGAGCCCAGAAGACGTTAGGTACCTGACTTGACCTGTGGTTTTTCCATTACTCCCTGCTGTCCTTTGATGTCTTTTATCAAGCTCCTTCAGGTGGAATCCATATACACAAAACAATATCATGTGATCTGATTTCTAAACATCCAGAAAATCATGCTGCTGCTATACCTCAGCATTTGGGACTCTGCTGCTTAATAAGGAAAGATTTTGAGTCCTCCAATGATGAAGTGTAACAACACCTTATCTTGTTCCTTATAGCCCCTTTTTCCTTATCAGACCCTCTTGAAAGTCTTCTTGTCCATCACTTCTAGCTCTCCAGCCATTTGTATGTCTAACCTCTTGAGTGTTCTTGTTTCTTACTGTTCTGAATGAGGAGGCACCGATCCTGGGCAATGCAGAGGTTTTTGTATAAGCCTTTCCACTCGTCATTTCTATTTTAATGTTTCCTGGGTGTTTAGCCAGGACTCAGTAATAGTTCATAACAATGGCAGCTGGCTTTTTTGACTGCTTACCATGTGCCAGGCATTGTGCAGAGTCCTATACTTCTATCTTCTTATTAATTTAGACATTTTGTAAAGTGTAGGTACTATTTTTATCTTCTTTTGAATCCGGCTTGGATCTGAACCCAAGTGTAAGTCCAAAGCTGGTACTTGTCCCCCTACACTTAAACAGGGGCTGAAACTGAGGGGCCGCACGCGGCAGCCAGAGCAGCCCAAGAGGATCCAGGAAACCTGCACCGCAAACTCAGTGCTGTCTTTACGGCCCTCCCGAAAGTTGGAGGGTTTGCTTGTAGAGCACCACGATCCGTCGCCTCCAGTTTTCCACCTGAGACACTCAAAGTGATCCCTCCATATTATTCTTCAGACAAATGATTTTAGCGTGTGTCTGTCTGCAGCTCGGGGCAGCACAGGTGTGGGCTTGCAGTGACTCGGCATTCCACAGAAGAGCCTATTTCTCGGGGTTGGGGAGGGGGCCGGGGGTGTGGCGTACCCTCCAGCTGGCCTCCGCAGTTACAGGAAACCAGAGAATACCGTTTCCTGAGGGGTATATGAATCCTTTAAATATTTAAGGACTTAACATGGTACCTGGCACTTAGTAGGCCCTCAGTATGTGCTGTTTCTCTTTGTCCTAGAAGGTTTCCTTGGTTCATGGGCGTTCCAGTGTCTCGTTCTAGCTCTACTCGAGTCTGCTCAGTGTTGAGAAGACATGAGCTGCGTCTGTGTGTTGGCCCCGGTCCAGCCTGTGAATCACACCAATGCTCGTAAGTTGGAGCTTAGAGAGAATTAGAATATGAGACCAAAGAAGGCAAAATATTTCCCTTTCCCTTTCTTGCTAAATTCCTGAGTTTTTGAGATAATAGAAACAGGGAGACCTGGGTTCAAATCCAGCCTCTGCACTTGCCGGTTTGAGTCTCCTGCCTGTTTCCATCATGGAAAGAACCTGGGCTGTGGGGAAGGGTAAACCTGGCCATTTCTCTCAGTTACTCAGTCACAGCTAAGGCTGTCTGTCTCCTTATCCCTAAATGGGGGCGACAGCAACTCTCCTCTCACAGGGTTGTGAAAAGTACAGAACAGTGCGTGTGGTGCCATCAGGATGTGGCGCAGAAGCCAGTGAACATTCATTCATTCATTCATTCATGGTCTTGGCAATTGAGGTGTAGCAAATGGTCCTAAGTTTGAGTTATTTCTCCGTCTCCCTATCCAACAGGAGGGAAAGGTAGCTCTGGCCCTGACCACAGGCCAGAGCAGGTATAAGGGGAGCGCCTTGTTGGGCACTGGAGGTGCCAAGCACCACCTAAACCCAGCCCCACTGCCTTCAACTGCCGCCAAAAGCCCCTGGCACCAAACGCTGTTGCTTCAGCTGCTAGTAGTTAATGCTCCTTGACTTGGAAAAGTTTTCAGCTCCTGGGAGCAACGTGGTGAGGGCTCACCACCCTGCCTCCCTGGGATCTGCATGCACGCTACCCCCTGCCCAATTTACCTTCCTTTAAGTCTCACCAGGCTGTGAGCCCGGAGTGAGGAGTGTGGGGAGGGCAGAGAGCTTTTCCGGGAAGGGGCCCAGCGGGGTCTTGGCTGGTTGCCCTGTTAGCCACGGACTAGGACCCCAGGGTGGGAGAGTGAACAGAAAGGTACTCGCGCCTGGAGCAGTTGCAAATCTGTCATGAGGAAGAAACTGATCTCAAAGGCACTTGGTGGAAGGGGCCCTCTCCCTGACCCACATTCAGGTGCTGGGGCCTAAAAGGGGTCGAGTCCCACTGCGGAAGCCTGGGAACTAGAAAGCGTTGCGGACTAGACACCCCGCCTTTCCAGTCTCTTGGTTGGTGGGTGGGGTGGGGAGTGGTTCGTGGCCCCGCCAGGGCCCGGACCGGGAGAGGGGTCGGTCCTGCGGCTCTGCCTTCCCGGGAAGTGGGGCCCGGCCAAGTCCCACGTGGGGAAAGGGCAGGCGTCCCCCTCCCCCCGCCCGTGGGGACCCTCCGCCCGTGTCCGGAGGAGGCCTGCGTCCAGCAGATGCACGCGGGGAGTGGGGAGGGGTGGCGGGGGAGAGGCGGGGAGGAGGAACCCACAACAAAACTTGCGTCGCCGAGCGCGCGCGGCTGGACTCGAATGGAAGGAGCCCGCGCCCGCAGAGCGCAGCGGGACTCGGAGGAGCGCCTTCGGCCGGCGGGGCGCGGTGCAGCGCGGGGACGCAGCAGGTACCGGCGCGGGCGGCCGGGTGGGCCGAGGGGTCGGGGCCAAGCCCGGGCAGCGAATTCGGACTTCCCGCCGGAGTGGGACCCTGGCTTCTCGCATCGCTCGCCTCTAAGCCCCGCACCGAGGGTCGGGCAGGGAGCTCTCCCTCGGGGCACGACCCCTCCGCTGTCCTTTGGGACCCGGCAGGGGCCTTTCCTCCTCTCCGGGCAGAGGCTGGTCCCAGCCCCCGGCCCCTCCCGCCGCGCACATCTGGAAAGAATCTGAGGGCGGATGGGCGGGGGAAGGGGAGGACGGCGGGCCACAGGGAATGCGAGGGGCAGGTGGAACTGGGTGGGGGGCGCGGACCGCGGACCTGGAGCCCCGGCTGTTACCCTGTGTCTTCCCTGTGTCTTTCCACGCCACTTGTCCACGCTAGTCCACCCTCGACCTCTGCACAGACAGAAACCGAGGCCGATAGAGGGGCAGCAATCTGCCCCAGGACGGCGGACAGGTGAGGGGGAGCCCGCGCGCCCGCCTCCGGGACCCTCTCGGCGCTCGGCTCCCCAGCCCAGAACTCTTAGCTGGGGTCCTGGTGTCCTGGTGTCTGTCGGTCGGTCTGAGGGACTGCCTCCTGGCTGGGGCAGCTGGACTGGGAGAGGGAACTCGCAGGGCGGGCGGAGAAAACCCCAGGTCTTAGGTCCCTGAACCGCCAGCCCGGCCTGGGGCGGAACGAGACCGCAGCTTTAGAAAACCTGGTGCGCCGTCAGGTGGAAGAGGAGGTGGCGGCAGAGCCGCTGGCGGCCGGTGCAGCTGGCGCTGGGCCGGGAGGCAGCAGCAGCCCGACCGTCCGGAGAGCAGCCGGGCGAGGTGCGTGCTGCGCCCGCGCCCGCTGCCCGCGAGGCTCCGTGGGACGCGCGCCGGCGCTGAGTGCGTCTCGGAACCGCAGGGCACCGGCCATCTGAACGTGGGCCCTGGGTCGTGGGCGGCCGAAGCCGTGGTCCACCTGGCTCCAAGGACGCTACTGGTGTGAACTGGGAGAGCCCCTGGTCTATCTTGTCCCCGTCTAGGGCCTGGGCCCAGTCCACTCCAGCCTACAGTGCAAGTTAATAAATGTCAAATTCACATGACTTTTCATGAGAGTTTGTGGGAGCATACTTTGTCCCTTTTATCTGAATTGTGGGTCCAGGGTGACGAATGGCGGCACCGTTAGGCCTGGTAGAGTCACATGCAGGAGCTCTGACCGTGACTTGCCTGTAACCCACAAGTAGCTCCCTGTCACCGGCGCTTGCAGTATGGCGGCTGATGCCTTGCAGAGGTGGGCACCATCCTGTTCATTCTTCTTCAAGCATACCTCCCTCTCCCCTCCATCCCCATTTGCCTTTGCTTGGGCCCTGCTCCCGGCCTGGAGTCCACCTGGAGAACTCCTACTCAACCTTCAAGAACAGCTCAAGGCCCTGGGCAGGAGTCAGAGGCACAAGTTCTAATCCTGGTTTTGCCTTAACCTGCTAATCCGTAATCAGGGAGTCAGATGAGATAATGTTGTAGATCTTTTCCAACTCTGCCTTTCACAAATTGGTTCTTTTATTCAGCAAATGTTTCCAGAGCCCCAATGCCACACGGGCAGGGGCGTTGTGGGAGCCTGGAGGAGCTCCTGAACCCAGCCAAGGGGGCAGGAGCAGAAGACTCACTCTTAGTCTTGGGGTTTCTCCTGGGGTCTATAAAATGTAGTGGTTTGGGGCCAGTGCGGAGCAGGTGATCAGCAAGTCTTCACTGAATTTGAGTGGAGGAGGAAGGTCGTGCTTGGGGTTAAGGATCTGCCTTCTAACTTAAAGATTTTCCTTCCCCTTCCTTCTTCTTCCTGCCTTAATCCCATACCTCAGCCCATCAGAGCATTGAGATTTGAGGGGGTGGGGGGAGCAGCGGGTCCCAGAGACGTCCTCAGTAGCAGTAACCTGTGTGTGTAGCTCACACTTGCTGGGTGCCAGCCTCAGCCGGGCTTGTTATTTCATTGAATCCTCACGAGGGGCCCGCATCTCCATTGCCCAGACTAGTAAACAGAGGCCCAGAGCAGTGAAGTGACTGCTCCAGGCTCAGGACTGGACCCCACACACTTCTGTCACTGAAGCTCTCCACAGGAGGACCAGCTGCCCGCAGGTCGGGCTGCCCCTCCCGCCCAGCCTTTGCCTTCCCAAAGATGTGAGTTGTTCCCCGCCAGCAGAACTCCTCACTCTGGGGACTTCCAGAGACAAGGGGTCTGTTCTGTCCTTTATTCTTCCACACACGGCTCCAGTGTGGCGGGGCACAGAGAAGAGGCCTTGGGGGCCTATGTTGCTCAACGCTCTTAGAACAACAACAACAGAAACTGAGACTCAGGGGCCAGTGATGTAGCCAAGGACACACAGCAAACCAAGTGGTGGGGCTGGGGCTGCCCAGGATCCCGAGGTCCTGAGGGTGGGTGGTGGCACTTGGGTCACCACTCTCCAAGCCCTGTCTGATCTTCTCCCCTGAATCCAGCTCCCTCTCTGCTCCTGCAGCCTGGTCCCTCCCTGTGTGCCCAGAACCGGCTCCATATCCTCCACCAGAACCACCGCACAGCCCCTGGAAGCTCCACACTGTCCGTGCATAAGCCTGCCAGGGCCACGCTCCTCATCTCCCCAACGGTAAGGGTCACTCTTCCTAACCTGGCTTTCAAGTCCCTTCTTTGCCTGGACCTGTGGTCACTCTCTACCGGCATGACTCCCAGACTCCAACCTCTACCACTTTGGGAGGTCTGTAGAGGTCATAACATGGGCTCTGTTGCTCCCGGAGCTTTGCACACACCGACCCCTTGCTTGTAGTGCCCTTTCCCTTTTGGCTGATATCCATCCTTCATAGCCAGTGCAGCATCCGTCTGGGAAGCCGTCTCGGCCCCAGGCAGGGTTAGGCCTCCTCGAGTTCCTATGGACTTTCACTTCCCTTCATCACACCTCTGATGACAGTGGAATTATGATACTCACTTTATAGGTAATGTCCAATAGAAATACAATGTGAGCTTGGAGTGCTGATTATACCTCATGTCTAATAGAAATGCAGTGTGAGCCAGAAATGCAAGTCACATAGGTCACGTAAAAGTTTCTAGAAGCCTCAAAAGTAGTAAAATGAAGTAGGTAAAATTAATTTTAACAAATTATGTAACTCAATAGATTAAAAAATATTATCATGTAATCAATATTAAAACAAATAAGCTATTTAATGAGATCATTAATATTAATAAGATTTTTACATTATTTTTTGTCCTGCGTCTGTGGAACCCATGCACACTACATTTTACACTTACGGCGCCTCTCAGTTTAGACTAGCCACGCTTCACGTGCTCAGCAGCCACGTGTGGCCGCTGTGTTGGACGGTGCAGGCGTGGGCTTCCTAAGGGCAGCAGCCGTGCTGAGCAGTCTGTCTGGGTCCTCGGTGCCCAGCTGTGCTTTGCATTAGCGACAGCACTGGGGGCTCAGCTGTGCCGTTTAACAGCTGCGTTCCATCGGCTAGTCCTGCTGGGCCTCTGCTCCCTCATCCGTAAAGCGGCGATGATAACATTTCCAATATGGCTCATAACGTTAATATAAATTCAATATTTTTATAGATACAGTTTATGGGTCTTCACAGACGCGAAGCTGAAGGTGAGGGAGGAAAAGTAGCCGGCCCGGTGCGTGCACAGGATGTGTGGGGAGGACCCGTTTGCCTGGCCTTCTGCCCTGATTGAATTTGGGGCCTGGGCCTGTGCCCAGCTGCCCCTCCCACAGTCCCGTTCTGCAGCAGGGGCAGACAGACTAACGCGGGTGCTCCAGGGCTGGAGGCTGCGGAGCTTCCGGGGGTCGTAATATGCTGTGGCGGTCTGTGGGTTGGCTGAGGATTTGTTGCCTGTTTGGACAGGGGACAGGGCAAGCAGGAGTGCGGTAGGGTGGGCACAGGGCCAGGCTGCAGCTGACTGACCCCTGGAGCCCGGGCTCTATGAGTGCCAGGCTCCCTGGTTCTCTGCCAGGCCAGGGCTTGGGGGCCCAAGTCTGCGTAGGCCTTGAGGATAGATGGGGTCCAGCAAGACTGGTGGCTACCTCTCTTTTCCCTCCTCACACCTTTCAAATCTTCTGAGAGGAAGTGGACCTGGGACTGGACCAAAAAGCACAGCAGGATCTAGACAGGCAAGGGTGAGACGCAGGTGGTTCTGGAGCAGGCAGCGGTGTGGCTGGGGTGTGAGCAAGGACCACGGGTCCGGTATTAGTGGTGGAAGGAGCCAACATTTGTTGAGCACTTACTGTGTGAGGTACGTTCATCCCACTGACTCTCAGTCTTTCGTGAGGATGACCCTGTTACCAGCCCAGAGATGGGGAGAAATCTGGGTTTGGAGGGCGCCAACACTTGCCCAAAGCCCCCAGCTGGTAGGAGCCAGGGCCAAGCTCGCAGCCCTGACTGTCTGGCTCCAGAGCCTGCTTAACAGACATCAGGGTCAACATGAAGCTTCCAGTTTACCCAGGCCCCCCGGGCCCCCCAGTGTGTCAGACCCCTCTAGTGGCTCTGTGGGCTGTGGTCCCTCACCTAATGGGAGGGGGGCAGGCTCAGACCAGGGTGCGGTACCCCCAGCCCGCACACTTGCCCTGCGTTCGTGTTGACAGCAGTACTGACAGAGGCGCTTCGTCAATAACAGATGCTAGGTGCTTTGCGGCTGTTCCCTTGCGGACTCCTCGCAGAAGCTGTGAGTTCAGACTCTGTAATGAGGAACCTGAGCCTCAGTGAAGTCAGAGCTGCTAAGTGGTGGGTGGGGACACCGACTGGGGTCTGTGGGCTCCATAGGCAGTGTACCTGAGCTACCGCCTCTCACAACCTATCCCACCCCAGAGAGAGGGATGGCATTCCAGGTAGAAGGAGCAGGGTGTGCAAAGGCCCGCAGGGAGGGACTACTAAATAGACCTGTATATCTGGGCCAGGTGGGTGCAGAATTGGAAGAGAGGCAGGGCCAAGTCCTGAAGACCTGAGAATAGCGAGCTGAAGAGCTGGGATGGCCGTGCTGGTCCAGCCCACTGAGGCCTGTGGCGGCTGGAGGAGGGACAGGGCCTCCCAACACGGCCCGTTTGGGAGCTCAGCAAAACCCAGGCCGAGCCCTGCACATAACGGTTCTTCCTGGGCCTCAGCTTACCTTCTGTGAAGTAGGGATGCAGATTGTTCGGGACCAGGCCTGGTGAGGGTTGTGGGAGGTTCTTCAGACCTGCTTAAAAACAGGGCTTCGCTGTACGCCATCCCTCCAGAGGGCAGCCCTGATGGGGCGTCACCAGTGGGCTCTGCCTGGTGCCCTGGAGGGCCCCATGAGGCCTCTGTGGGCCCCAGCCCTGTGCCTACTGTACCTGACAGGTTAGGCCGGGTGGGTCTGACTCCACCCCTCCTGCAGGCACCATGGCCTGGAGCAGGGCGCTGCTGCTCCTGCTGCTGTTGCCGCCACAGCTGCAGCTTGGACTGGTGCTCGCCGTGAGGGCGCCTGTGTTTGGCCGGAGTGGCACCCACAGCCTGAGTCCTGAAGAGAACGAATTTGTGGAGGAGGAGCCCGTGCTGGTCCTGAGCCCGGAGGAGCTGGGGCCTGGCCCAGCCACCATTAACTGCCCCCGAGACTGTGCCTGCTCCCAAGAAGGGGTGGTGGACTGCGGTGGCATCGACCTGCATGAATTCCCAGGGGACCTGCCTGAGCAAACCAACCATTTGTCCCTGCAGGTGAGACCAGTGCTGCGCCAGTGGTCACTAGGGGCTGCTCCCACACGCACGGCTCCCACTCCAGAACCCCTGAGGTCACGGCTCCCTGCTCGCCCAGAACCCCCAGTGCCCCTGGCTCCACATGCCCAGACTTGGGGTGCTGGGGCAGGTCAGACACTGGATCTGGCTACACCGTGGGGTCCCCCTGTTGTCCGGGTCGCAGAGCACCGTGATGTAACCCACTATTTCCCTGGGAGGAGTCTGGGCTGAGGCCCACGAGAAGCATCAGGCCCTGTCTGGAAAGGGACACAGACCTGCTCTGCAGCTGAATCTCAGACTCCATGATGCCATTAGAGGCCAGGAAAACGAGGGCAGAGCGGACCCTGGTAGAGTGCTCTGGGGCTTGGAGGACAGAGTGCGCTCTCCAGCTGAGGTATTGGAAGTGTACTCAAGTTCCAGATGGGGGCTCTGAGGGTGCTGGTGTACTCAGTCGCCCTCGTGGCCCAGGAGCCCTGGAGGCTATTTCCAGAGGCCGGGTCCAGCGAGGGAAAGTGATCTGCCCACAGTCAAGTGGCCCTGGTGGGAGCCCAAGGCCCGGGGAGCCTATGAGGAAAAGGATAAGGTGACGACAGCACCTATTTTTGGCTCACCCACTCACTCCTCCATTCATAAAACATCTCCCGGGTACCAGCTCTCCATCTCTGGTCCTGTGCGGGGTGCTGGGCACATAGAGAGGACTCGGACACCTGCCTCTGAGGCAATCCCAGCTGTGGGGCGGCGGAGACCTAAACAAGTGCGGGGGGTGAGAGGTGGAGATAGAAGGGCTACTCGTGCGGCCTGAAGCGGCTCCTAATCTAGCTCCCAGTCCAACCCAGGAAGGCTTCTGGAGGAGATGGTACCAGACCCAGATCTTAAAGCATTCCAAGGGGGGTGAGACATGCAGAGCCCTGGAAGGGAACCAAAAGTGGTTTCTGGCCTGGGTGTGGGGAGGACGGGCTGTCACCAGGTGGGACATGGCAGGAACGTGGGGAGCAGGTCTGAAGGGGAGATGACATTCCAAGTTGAAACTTCCCATAGACACCCACATGTGGGCTCCTAGAATGTGGGACCCACATGTCTGTGGTGGTCACTGCTCTGCCTCTATCACTCAGATCCAGGCCTGGCCCGGAGCTGGCACCCGGGTCTGTCTCCCAGGTGGGAGGAACTGGCCCCTGAGACCGGGGCAGAGGGGAGGGTTGGGCCCACAGGTTGGGCCCGTCCCCTGTGCTGCCACCCCCTCACCACCCCTGTCCCCAACTCCCTAGAACAACCAGCTAGAGAAGATTTACCCTGAGGAGCTCTCCCGGCTGCATCGGCTGGAGACTCTGAACCTTCAGAACAACCGCCTGACTTCCCGAGGTGAGTGGTCACCCAGAGCCTAGGACTGGGCCACCAGGGGCAGAGATTGTGTGCCCCTGGGGAGAGCCCCACCCTGCAGTCCCCGGGATGTGGCAAAAAGCCAGTCTGGGCTGGGCTGACAGAGGGTCCTTGGTGTTGATGGAAAGCCACCCCTGGGTGTCTCTGAGACCTGGGAGCTGGCGCAGCGGGGAAGCTTCAGAGACCTTTGTCCTAGACTGTTCAGGTCAAGGAGGCCTTTGGAATCAGGGTTGGAGGGCCCTCAAATTTTTTAAATGTGTGTTCTTTCCTGATGATGAAAATCATTTTGATTATAATAGAAAATGTGGAAATATAGAAAAATAAAATAGAAAATTAAAAAAAAAACTATTCATAATTCTGCCACTTGGAGTTCATCACTGTTGACATTTTGGTACATTTCTTTCCATTTTTTAAAAGCAGCTTGATTGAGGTGTAATTTGTATACATAAGATTCACCCAATTAATAGGTACAATTTGATGAGTTTTAGTCATTTGTAGTTGCACAACCATCATCACAATCCAACGTAGTCTTTTCTCCTTGTGGTCTTCGTCCCTCGCTGAATTTATAAAATAGGTATTGTAAGTATTGTCAGTGCTTCTTTTCACTCAGTGGCTGGCTCAGCAGCCCTTCGCCCTTGGCTAAAACTATCGCGCCTGCGCCCCCCCCCCCCGTCATTTCACACGGCAGCCCCAGGGTATCCCGGCGGGGGGGATGCTGCACAGTGTATGTAACTGTTCTTTCTGGTTAGATAATTGGGTGAGTCCCAGCATCTAAGGGCTTGGGAGCCTGGAACCGAGCGTCCTGGGCCAACCTCAGGACTGGAGAGGGGCCAGCCTGGCCGGGATCCAGTGACAGCCATCCTGACACTAGAGGGCCTGAGGGGTGGGCCAGATGGTGGGGAGGCTCAGAGGCTGAAACCCCTGTGCCCTGCCATGGAGCTGGGTTTGGTCCTCTGGGGCTGCGCCCAGAACTCCTTCCTGGCAGGGAAAATGTCAGGCTGGGTCCTCCATCCCATGGCCTGACCTTACGGGGACCCATTCCCACCTAGGTGTCCCTGAACAGGTGAAGGACAAGTCATCCCTCAGCCAGCATTTCCCACCTGCTCCTCTGAGCTGGGGGTCCTGTGAGCAGGAGGCTGGGAAGACGGCAGAGTCACGCCTGCCTCGGGGAGGGCCGTCCCCAGTCCTAGCGAGTGGGGTGGGCTTGGGGTTCTGCGCTGGTGTGCTCCCCTGCAGCGTCTCCTTCATCCAGGGCTCTGACCGATGCCTGTCCTTTGAAGGGCTCCCGGAGGAGGCGTTTGAGCATTTGACCAACCTCAATTACCTGTACCTGGCCAATAACAAGGTGAGGGCCTGTGGCAGGGAGGGAGTGTGCTGACCACGTTCCCTAGTGTCAGAGGCAAGTTCAGGGAGCTTTCAGGGCCTCTTCTGGGCTGGCCACTGGGTCCTTGTTGCTTCCCAGACATGGCCCAGACCCCACACCTTAATCTGGGGCATCTAGGTGGTCAGTTAACGAAGACAGAGGCCCAGGCTTTCAAGAGTGTAGGGGGAGTGAAAGCTTATCTCCGCAGGGCAGGGGCACTTATGGGGCCTTTATGGAGGAGACAGCATTTAAAGGACCACGAAGGGACACAGGAGTTCAGGCAGGGGTTTGAAGGCAGAGGACACTGCAGTAGAAGGGACATCATGAGAAAAGGCACAAAGACACTCAATCTCAAAATACCCAGCATGCCCCAGAGCTCTGTCCTGGCCCCTTCTCTCTGAACTGCCTCCACAATGGCCTCATCCGTGGCAGCCTCCAGCCCCTTCCTCACCTCCCACCTGAGACTCAAAGATCCTTCTGCCTCCTGGCCGCCTCCCCTAGAGGTCTATAGGACTGCTTCCTGGTCACAGCCCCCAGCGCTGCTGCTGCTCTCCATCTCTGTGGAGGGGGTCTCCAACCACCCACCACCGCTGGCCCGAGTGCGAAGAAAGCCCCAGTGCTTCTCACCCTTCTCACCGCGCCTGCCAGGCAGCGCTGCAAGGCACCGCCCCACCACGGTCCTGCAACCGGGCAACCCTGCCTCCTCGTTTCTGCCTCTTCTCCTCAGAGCAGCCAGGGTGACCTTCAAACATCAGTGCCCGCTTCTCCCCTACACCTTCCCTCCCTGCTTAAAACCCTCCAGTGGCTTTGCCTTCCTTCTGAATGAAGGCACACTTCCCCCTGCTTCTTTTAACTCAGGGTCCTGCCCACTCTCTGCTGCCCCTCCCCCGCCCTCCATCTCCCATGCTGGATTTGCTGCCTTGGATGCTCTCCTCTCAGATGGCATTTATGGTGCCGTCATGCCTTAAGTGTCTGTCACCTGTACCCTGAGCACCCCACCCAGTTGTTCTGTCTGTAGCCTGTTTGAATTCCCTGCATAGCAGTGATCATTATCAGATACTTTTATTCCTTGTTTATTATCTTCTCCACTAGGATGTAAGCTTGAGCGGGGGGTGGGCAGAGGACTTCTCTGTCTTGTTGTCCAGGACATGCCCAGAGAGCTCCTGGACCCATGCCTGGAATGTTGTAGATGCTGGCTCTGCTGCTGAATGAATGAGGGGTGGTCACTGTGGGCTGTCTGGGAAAGCGGGGTGCTCACTGCAGCTGGGCAGAAAGCCAGGGTCAGGGACCAGGGAAGGGAGAGAACAAGGAGGACAGGCAGGGCAGAGGACAGGCCTGGAGGGCTTTGAATGCTAAGCACAGGGCTGTGGGGGGCTGTGGACGTTCTAGTTTGTGTTGTCAGTGGAAGGGGACAGCAGGCCAGATGGCTGCACTTGCTGGGAGGGGACAAGTGAAGGGCCCGGATGAGCAGCAGGCAGTGGGACCCAGAGCTGACCTCCTCCCTCCATTGGTCTTTCTGCCCCAACTCTTTCCTTTCCAGTTGACCTTGGCACCCCGATTCCTGCCAAACACCCTGATCAGTGTGGACTTCGCTGCCAACTATCTCACCAAGATCTATGGGCTCACCTTTGGCCAGAAGCCAAACCTGAGGTCAGAGGTCAGACAGGGTCCTGGGCTCAGGCTGGGGAAGGGGAGGAGCTGAGCAGAGGCTGACCCTTTGATGAGGCAGAGAGGACGCAGACAGGCCCTGGAGGAGGGTCATGCTGTGCAGTGTGGGCATGAGGTCCCCTGCTTGGGGCTGTGGTGGGAGACACCGGGGGCTGGGGGGAGGGGGCACAGGTTCCAAAGGCTGAGACCTAAAGTGTGAGGAAGAATTGGTCCAGGAGGTGAGGACAGAGGGTGATATCTGTGAAATTATGGGAGCTGGGTGAGGTTGCTTCCCTCCTTCCTCAGCCCCTGGGGGGAAGCATCTTCTAGCAGGCAGAGCTGTGCATCCTGTCCATCCCTTGCTGAGAGCTGCTTTGGGAGGAGAGAGCAGCACATGGTGGTGCCGGAAGAGCCGGCCCCTCCTGGTGCCATTTCTGTACCTGAATGTCACCTCATTCAATTCCCTCCTTCCCCCTGAGGAGCCAGGGTCACTGTGCCTGCTCCCATCCCACAGATGAGAAGGCTGAGGCCCAAGAGAGGCACACAGCAAGAATGAGCTATACCTTCTATGTGCTTCTTTGCTTCCTGGTCTTCTGGCCCTCTAGTGTGTTAGCTCCATGAGGGCAGGGTCTCACTGGTTGTGTCCTTACTATATCTTCACAGTCTAGAACATTCCTGGCATGTAGGGGCACTCACTGTGCACTTGCTGAGTGGATGAGGCATCACTTACCCTGAGCCAGTTCCTGTGCTGGGCATTGGGGGCACTTCCCATGTTCAAGAAGTCCCACAGAACTTAGAGCCAGCCGTGTGGGGTTGTTGACAATCAGGGAATGACTGAGAACCCTGTAGCATACGGAGAAGCATGGACTGGGGGTCAGGAAACCCTATTTCTGCCACTAACTTGTGGGGTAATCTCTGGTGCGTCCTTGGTTCCCTCAGCTGTATTGGGGGCATGACATTAGGTAGAGTCTGAGGTTCTTCAGAGGAGAGTGGGATGCCCAAGGCCCCAGGTCCAACCTGAGCAAGGTTTGGAGGCTGCAGGTGAGCATGCGCAGGGGCCAGGGCTCGGGGTCCAGGGGTCCCAGGGTCCCGGGTGAGTGAGGCCTTGCGCCGCACCCCCAGGTCCGTGTACCTGCACAACAACAAGCTGGCGGACGCCGGGCTGCCGGACAACATGTTTAACGGTTCCAGCAACGTTGAGATCCTTATTCTGTCCAGCAACTTCCTACGCCATGTGCCAAAGCATCTGCCACCCGCCCTCTACAAGCTGCACCTCAAGGTAGGAGGGAGAGGGCAGACGGGGCACCCCCAGAGCAGGGACCCGTCGCTGGGCAAGAGCCCAGGCCCACGTGCACACAGTGGCAAGGCTGTGAGGCCTTGGCACAGCATCCACTGCAGAGAAGCGGGCGGAAGCCCAGCCTCCTGGTGTTCAGCCCCACACTCAGAGTACTCCAGGCACCTCATGGCTCCCTCAGACCCCCTCTCTGCACACCCTCTGGCTCTGCCCTTGCCCCTCGGCTGTCTCTCATGTTCCCCTCCCCACTGTCTCCTCACCCCCACCAGAACAATAAGCTGGAGAAGATCCCACCGGGGGCCTTCAGTGAGCTGAGCAACCTGCGGGAGCTGTACCTGCAGAACAACTACCTGACTGATGAGGGCCTGGACAACGAGACCTTCTGGTAAGCCCCTGCCTGGGCCCCCAGGAGGACCAGGCACCTGGGAAGCTCCACCCAGCCAGGCCCTCTCGCACTCGCCTCTCGCCCAGCTACCCTGGCCAGTTTCGCCAGAGAAGGAACTCTGAGGCTCGTGCCTCTGCTGACATTTCTGCCCCCAAGAACAAGTGATGTGTGTGGGTAAGGCCTGCCAAAATTCTAGTGGGGCTGGGAAGCATTTGCAGACACTGGTTTCACAAGATAGAAACTCAAACATGTTTGTTGAAGGCAAATATAAATATATTTTTATTTCTTTAGGGCCCAGAATAGCCAAAAAAGTCCTTAAACAATTGTTCTTCAAATAAACCCTTGTGTCAGAAACCATGCTAGAACCTTCCTGTGTCAATGCCACTGAATAATCAATCCAATGAGAGGCTTGGAGAAGCTTGCGGTCCCCAGTGAGCAAGAGGCAGAGCTGGGATGAATGAGAGGCAGCTTCCCGGCCACCTCGCTCGGGAACGTGGCGGGAACAAGGGTGGGCCCCTGCTATGTGGGCTCCTGCCAACTGTCCTAATCGCCCTCGCCCCAGGAAGCTCTCCAGCCTGGAGTACCTGGATCTGTCCAGCAACAACCTGTCACGGGTCCCAGCGGGGCTGCCACGCAGCCTGGTGCTGCTGCACCTGGAGAAGAACGCCATACGGAGTGTGGACGCGGATGTGCTGACCCCCATCCGCAGCCTCGAGTACCTGCTGCTGCATAGCAACCAGCTGCGTGCGCACGGCATCCACCCGCGGGCCTTCCAGGGCCTCAAGCGGCTGCACACCGTGCACCTGTACAACAATGCGCTGGAACGCGTGCCCAGCAGTCTGCCCCGCCGCGTGCGCACCCTCATGATTCTGCATAACCAGATCACCGGCATCGGTCGCGATGACTTTGCCACCACTTACTTCCTGGAGGAGCTGAACCTCAGCTACAACCGCATCACCAGCCCACAGGTGCACCGCGACGCCTTCCGAAAGCTGCGCCTGCTGCGCTCGCTGGATTTGTCTGGCAACCGGCTGCACACACTGCCGCCAGGACTTCCCCGCAACGTGCATGTGCTGAAGGTCAAGCGCAATGAGCTGGCCGCACTGGCACGCGGGGCGTTGGGTGGCATGGCCCAGCTGCGTGAGCTCTACCTCACCAGCAACCGGCTGCGCAGCCGGGCCCTAGGCCCCAGCGCCTGGGCTGACCTCACCCATCTGCAGGTAAAGGGGAGGGCAGGGGGCTGAGCCATGAGGGAGGTACCCCTTGGGGAGGACAGTCCTTAAAGTAGTGGGGCTGGGCCATTCAGAGTAGGGCTGGCATGCCTGGTAAGGAGTGAAGGGCAGAGTACTGCTGATATGGCCAGGCAGAGCTCACTACCTGCAGGTACAGGCTTGAGGAGGGCCCTGGGGGTAAGGAGAGGTCATGGCTTCAGGCAGAAGCCCATGGTTCAGGAGGACAGGGGGCAGGGACAATTCAGGTGGCAGGAGAGTCAAACTCACCCATCTACAGGCACAGGAATATGTGCCCAGGGAAGGCCGTGTCAGTGGGAGGGCGCAGCAGCGAGGCCCCTGAGGTGGTCTGCAGAGAGCTGGGGGAGTCTGCTTGAGGTGACCTGCTAGTGGGTGTGGCTGTCGTGGCCATGGTCAGAGGCAGGCAGGGCGCGCACTGTAAGAGCCGAGTTTCTTACAGTGAAACCTCTGGACTCACTGAAGGACTGAAAAGGAACTTCACCAGAGAAGCCTGGGAGGCAGGGCCGAGGTGCTGCCAGGCCCACCCCGGAGCCTGGAGCCTGTGCCATGCTGTCTGTCTTCTGTGCCCCAGATGTCCTCAGGGCTTGCTCCTCCCTCTTTCTTAGGGATCTGCTCAAATGTCCCCTCCTTGGGAGGTCTTCTCTCACCACCTAGCACCTTCCTCTGCATTGCTTTTCTTCATAAGCCTCATCCCTCCTCCATGGCAGTAGGTCATCTCTTTGTTTGTTTGATGCCAGCGCTTTCCTCTAGAATAAGGAAGGGCAGGGATTTTCGTCTGTTGTGTTCATACTGGACCCGGGGCCCTGGCCTGGTGGGCTCACAGGGGTCCCTGCCTGTGGTGGGAGCTGCTGGGATGGAGCTGTCTGGGGTCGGGGGCCTGGGAGGTGAGGCACAGCTCTGAGGGTGGAGCAGGGTGGGCGTCAGGGAGGCAGCTGGCCCTGCAGGAGCAGCATTAGCTGGGGTCTCTCCTCACCCAGCCCACCCTGCTGAGTGTCAGACACCCAGATCCAGCCACCTGTGCCAATTAATCCCTCTTAGGTGTACCCCGGGAACCCCATTCTCAAAGGGCCAAACCCCATCATCCTTTCCTTCACACCTGCTCCTCCTGCTGCATTTCTAACTCACTGAAGGGGGTGACATCCCCCCGCCCCCCGCAGTGCCCATGGGAAACCTGGGAGCTGCCTCAGCATCTTGTTTACACCGTCTGCCTTGCGGTCCCCCTTGTTCTACCTGCCAGTTCTACCATCACATCGGATCTGTCCTCTTCTCTCCACCGCTGCTGCCCATGCCCCAGCCAACCCACCCCCATTTCTCCCCTGGACCCAGCCTTCCTAGGAATGCTCTACTCCTGTACTGCATAAGCAATTAGAGGGTATCTTGAAAACTATACGCTCAGCTTACGCTCCTACCCAGAAACCGTCCGTGGTTCCCCATTGCCCTTAGAACCCAGATCAGCATCCTTGCCACAGCCTTTATGGCCCAGGCTGCCCCTGTTCCGAGCTGAGCTTCTTATTTTTCCAGGTGCACTGGGCTTTGCTCTTACTGGCCCCTCTGCCAGAGCAAGCACTGTTTCCTCCCTGGTGCTACCTACTCCCTCATTCATTCCCGAGTCTATATGGAGACCCCAGCTTGTGCAGACAGTTCTAGAACTGAGGACCCAGCCAGGAGCAAGCTCACTACCATCCTGGAGACTGTAATATACCTGGACTCAGGTGTCAACTCCTCTGGAAGCCACCAATGGCTACCTCCCTGGGCCTGGATGAGTTCAGTCAGGGAACTGGTGTCTGTTGAGGGCAGATTCTTCCTCTCGCTGATGGCTCTTTGTACAAGCAGCAGCTGTTCCTGCTACTCTGTGAGTGCCCCTGACCCACGACTGCATCAGGCTCCTCCCCCAGGCTCCCTCCCGGTAGCCCCGTTCCAATGGCTGTCATTGTCAGATTCCGTGTCCGTCTGCCAGCCTGGCTTCCTGAGCAGGGAGGCAGTGTCTCAGTGGATTCCACGTCCCCAGCACCTGTGGGCACAGAGGATGTATGGAATGAATGAGGAAGTGACGGAGCTGTGTGAGGGGACATGTGGGGAGCAGGGAGCCCTGGGTGTAGGGGAGGTGACAGGGAGCTCCCTATGGTGCGTGAAGCTTGTGCCTCCCTTGAATGTTGAATCTGGATTCAGGGCCCCCAGCTTCCTGACCCTGGGCCCCAGCCTGTTGGGGCGAGGGTGGCGGTTTAGAGATGACGGAGCCCCACCCAGCGCTGCGCAAGTCTATTGGCAGAGTGCACTGGCAGCTGAGGGATAGTGCGCTGGGCCGCGCATGTCCACATCTCCTGCCTACTGCTTGTCCCTTACCCTCCCTGGGAAAACGCCCCATTTCCCAGGTTTGCCACTTCCTCCGAGACTGACCAGCCTGGGGTCACTATCAGCCTTGCACTCTTGCTCCTGAGCCCTGCACATGTGGCCTCTGAGGTCCACACATAAGCAGCCCCACCCATGTGGCCCCCCACCCCACCCTCCTCTGGGATCTGCAGGGCAAGAGTCAAAGGCTGGAGGACTCCTGGCCCCTGACTTCTGGGTTCTTAAGTCTGGTGGGGGTGACATGTGTGTCGATGAGGAAGGATGTGATGTCCAAGCATCCTGCCCGTGAATCCATGTGGGAAGGCAGGAGGCGCTGGGTAGAACCAGGGTTTGGGGTCAGGTGCACTGGGCTCCGGCCTCGTCCAGGCCGTGTGGCCTTGGGCAGATCTCTTAACCTCCTTGAGCCTCTGTTTCCCCATCTGAAAATGCAGTCGTTATAGATCCCTCCTCACGGAGTTACGGTGAGATTTAGATATGTTTAGGGACAAGTGGAGGGCCTTTGCAAGTCATTAAGTGCTTTTATTTTCGTGGTCACCCTGCAGCTGCTGGACATCGCTGGGAACCAGCTGACAGAAATCCCGGAGGGGCTTCCTGCGTCACTGGAGCACCTGTACCTGCAGAACAACAAGATCAGCACCGTGCCCGCCAACGCCTTTGACTCTACGCCCAACCTCAAGGGGATCTTTCTCAGGTGGGAGGTCCCCTGTGGCCCTGCTGATGCCCCACTTGGGCCTGCCCTGGCTCTGGCAGGATAGTCAAGGCACATGGGAACAGCTTGTGGGTGGAGGTCAGTGTTCAAAGCCAAGTAGTGCACATGGGCACTATTGATGTTACTGTGACTAGAAGGGATCCCAGAGGGCATTGTCCCAATTTACAGCTGGAAAAACTGAGGCCCAGAGAGCATAGGTGATGCCGTGTCCACAGCTGGCCAGGCTGTGCCTGGGCCTCAGATCCAGGACAGTGGATGCTCATTTTCTCACTGGGGTTTCAAAGGACTCAGGGGACTCGGCTCCCCGCAGACATGAGGAGCTTCCATACAGCAGAGCCAGGGTAGTTCTTTCTAACATCCCCACCCCCAACCCCCTCAAATCAGAGAGAAGGAGCCATATCAGAGAAAGGCAGAATGTATACTCCCAGGGGCTTTGTGGCCCAGGAGGCCCCCGTTGGGTGACACTGGGGTGGAGTGTGACCTGTGCTTTGGTTCCTGCAGGGGACTGCTTAGAGAGTTGAGGGGCTTGGGATCGAGCCCGACCTCTGCCTTGCCACAGCCTGGGTTTCCTGGTGCAGCACGGCTCTGGCCTTGCAGGTGCGCCACCAGGGTCACTCCAGGCTGGCAGCCCAGAAGCTCGGGCCTTGAGTGTTAATTTCAGAGGGCAGGCGAGAGGAGGTTCCCATGTCTGCCACCCCCAAGTCTCGGTCAGAGCTCATGCAGTGGGTAGCCCTGCCCTCACTCCGTGGGTGAGTGGCCCAGGGTCAGCTCTGGCCCCCCAAGCAGTAGCCACACTGGATAGCTGGGACTTCTCTTGATACACGGTGCCTTCCGGCCCCCTGCCTTTTGTGCTTGCTGCACCATCTTCCTGCAGGGCCTCCTGGGTGGGTCAGTGTCAGGGTGGGGTTCTCAGCACTGACCCCACATGGGTGGCTGTACAGGTTTAACAAGCTGGCTGTGGGCTCTGTGGTGGAAAGTGCCTTCCGGAGGCTGAAGCACCTGCAGGTCTTGGACATAGAAGGCAACTTTGAGTTTGGTGACGTTTCCAAGGACCGGGGCCGGTTGGAGAAGGAGGAGGAAGAGGATGAGGAGGATGAAGAGGAAGAGGAAGAGGAAAGGCGATAGTGACCAGGTGAACTGAATCTGACATAGGTGGGTGGTCCTTGCTAGTTTCCTATTCCTGACTCAGTCTAGGTCTTTCTGCCCATGCCTCACATTCTGACCCCTGCCTCACTGTTCATTTTGTAAAGCAATACAAGCATTTGGTGTGCGCCAAGCCCTGGGCGGGAGGCTGGGATGACGGCAAGCTGATGGAAGGCCGGCCCGTGCCCGTGCATTCCCTGCAGGGTGGCGATGCCCTGGAAATCCCACACAGGGAGTGGACGTGAGAGCCCGGGTGGAGGCTACTGCTGTCGTCCAAGCTATAGATTGTGGGGCAGGAGGTGAGGGTGCAGATAAGCAGACGGGCCTGAGGGACTGGGAAGGCAGACTTGAGTAGTCCCTCTGGAACTAGGCCCAGGTTCAAGCTTGGAATTCAGGGTGGACGAGAGGAAGAATAGGCTTGTGTAGGGGAATGTTGAGTCTGAGGGGCCCGGAAGGCACTGGAGGAGGAGCCCAAGGATGGCTTGGATGTCTGGGTCTGGGGTCAGGAGGGAGGCCTGGGCTGGAGGTGGAGACCCAGGCATCATCAGCCTGAAAAGGCCGCTGAAGCTGCCGGAGGCCAGGGGGCTCGCCTGGGGAGACGGGGTGGGCGGCCGAGGGAGGGGCTGAGATGGAGCAGCCGGGGAAGGAGGCAGGAAGGCCACAGACAGCCCGGGTCAGAGGGTGTTCACACATACATGTGACACAAGCCCCCCCATGTATACCCAGTGATCAGCACACACACACACCCATGCTCATGCACACATGTCAAAACACACACTCACACACAAAGCACACATTTGTGGAACACACACTGCACACGTGTACATACCCCACGGGCTCTTATGTGTACATGTGTGCACACACGTGTTAAGTGTGCACGCATGCCATGCATGCATGCACAGTGGAGTCAGCTGTGTCCATGCTGCTGAGAGGCGGGTGAGCTAAGTGCTGCCGAGGGCGTGCTGTGTTCATCCACCACGTGGTCCCCACGGCCCTGTGGGGAGCAGCCTCGGGACAATGGGGGCGGAGTAAGAGGCCGGAGAGGGGTGGATCCAGGCAGCATAGACAACTCTGTCCGGCAGTTTGGCCGTGAGGAGATGAGGGCAGTGGTGGGGACGGGTAAGAAGCCCAGGCAGGGCTCAGTTCCTGTGGTTCACGCTGGGCCGTTTTTAAGGAGCGGCGCTGGTCTGAGTGCTGATGGGACAGCCGTGTGGAGGGAGGAGTTAAAGATGTGAGAGAGGGGAGCAGAGTACAGTGGTGGCCCCCTGGAGATAGTAGAAGGGACTGGCTTTGGTAGGAGGGTCAGTGCTCCCTCCATGGTGGCAGTCACAGGTTAGTGGCTTGGTGGCTGGACACAAAGTCATGTCAGCCAGCTGCCTCCGGCCTGCTGTTTTCTCCCGGAAGCACGAGGTGCTCAGTGGTGCGGCTGGGGGTGAAGGTGGATAATTGGATTCCCGGAGGCTGGGGTTTGGGCTGGGTGTATGGGACAGGAGGGGGAGGGACGAGGAAACTGAGTACTGGCAAGAGACCGTCTGCAGTGGTGGATCCTGGGGGTTAGGCTGCGAGGGGAAGGGGGTGCAGACAGGAGGGGCCGGTAGGCAGGATGGCTGGGGGGCCATGCTGGAGAGGGCCAGGTGGAGAGGTTGGGTTAGAGGGATAGCAGGGAGCTGGGGGTCACAGGGTCAGGGTGTGGTTGCAGGAGGTCACTGGGCCACTCTCAGGAAGTTGGCCTGGAGTAGGGCCTGGGGCAGAGAGGAGTCCCAGGGGGTGGGGGGGTGAGGACCCCATAGACGGATGACAGAGGTGGGGAGAAGAGTGTGCCCAGGGGCCGTGGGAGTGTGGGGGGCAGGCCCAGGGCAGCTCTGGGAAGTCACCTTCCTTTACTTCAGGCGTCTGGGCTATGAAGGTGGACCCCCTCTCCAGGCATCTTCCTCAGGCAGAGCCAGGGGTCAGCAGCAGGGCTGACTGGCCATTCAGTGTGGATGCCGTGGGCCGCACAATGGGGCCTGTGGAATCCTGGGGTGGAGAGGACCTGCCCCTCTGGGGGACGTTGGCCACGGTCAGGTCAGTTGAATGGAGTCCTGGGTGAGGTCCCAAGAGTGTCCAGAGAGACCCGAAGGTCCTCTAGTCCACCCTAGGCCTGGCCACACCAACACGAGCGCCTCCCGGGGGTGCCCACGGGCTCTGGGCATCCAGGGGCACCCTCCCCTCCTGCCCGCAGTCACTGGGCCCTCCCAGAGCAGCGTCGTGCGGGCTCCCCGGCTCCAGTCCACCTCCCCCAGGCAGGCTGTGGCTGGCGGGCCTGCTTTGGCCTCCCTGACGCTCCCACACGTTCTACAGGATGCTGGCCATCTGGACCCTCTCTGCAGCACGGGTCCCCGCCCTGTGAGCTCCGACTCTGCCGCTGTCCAGACACGTCCAGCACCGATCCCACCTGCCCCCCAACGCAAGCTTAACACACAGTCTCTCATCCCCACCCCTTCCTACAGTTCATGCCGCAGCCAGACACACACACTCACACACCATGACACACCCACATACAGCCGGCTGCCCATCGTCCTCCGCAGGGTCTCGCTGTCCACTGCATGCCCAGTGCCACCATTATTGTGTCTGAACCATGCAGACTCAGGGAAGGGTCTCGCCCCCACCCTCCTGGCATCCACTTCCTCACACACACACACACACACACACACACACACACACACACACACACACACAAGTCACGTGCAAACAGCCCTCCTCGGCCTATGCCACCAACAGCTCTTGCCCCAGCCAGAAATGGCCAGAACAGCTTGCTGTCTGCCTGTTCATCTGTCCGTCCATCCTCTGGAGAAGACACAGTGATCTTCGCGCTCTCTGCGGCCAGGTGCCTGCTGCCCTTCAGAACTCACAAAAGCTGGCTTTTGTTCCTTTTCCCTCCCTTCGGGGTTAGGAACGTTCTGCACTGCTGCCCTGGCCCCCTCGCCCTGGCCCCCAGATGCTGGGGAGTCACTCCTCGCCATGTCCTGGCAGGCCACGGGCATGTTCTGGGAGGGCAAGGCCACAGGGAAATTCTCCTGGGACTGCCAGGGGCCATGGCAGGAGGGAGATGGAGGTGTAGGGCTGGGCTGGAGGAGGAGGGAGGGCCTGGTCCCACCGGCAATGAGACACCATTTTTATTCTTTGGGCCTGCAGGGAGTTCTGGGTGCCTTTGTTTTTTGTTTTTTGTTTTTAAGAAAAAATGATAAAAACCTCAAAGCTGATTTTTGTTGTTATAGAAAAACTAATATAAAAACATTAGCCCTGTCTGGCAGCCCGTGGCCGTGTCTGTGTGTGCTTCCTGCCAGGTGCCCCTGTCATGACTGGCTGGGGTCAGCGGGAAGTTCAGTTCCTGGGGCCTACAAAGTAGTCCCATAGGCAGAGGTCCAGGACACAGGGCGCAGTCCCAGGTAAGGAGGCCTGAAGGCAGCTGCGGCCCTTCGGCGTGGTGGGGGTCAGCAGATCAGGCGGGACTGCCATACCGGGCCCGGAGCTCGCTGTGGACTCCTAGAGGCTGAGCATCCAAGCAAAGGACCTGTCGCCTCTGGGCTCCTCAGGGCTCACCTGGAAGGTCGCCTGTGCCCTAAGTGGGCATTGCCGGTGGGGTCTGTCCCATGGAGGACGGCTGAGGTGGGAAGGGGACCCGAAGCAGGCCTGGGAACTGGAGTAGAGATTTGGGAAGAGGTGCAGATGTGACCAGTGTGCTCACCAACAGGCCCAGAGCTGGGACTGGGGTATGGGGCGGTGTAGTGTCCCGCTCAGAGCAAAGACGAGCCTCCAACAGGCAGGACTGTCCCTGGATGAGAAGCCCGGGCAGCAGCAACCGCCACTCAGGGTGTGCACACGCTCCTGCTGAGCCCGGGCAAGAGCAGGTGCCTGCCTGGGGGTGGGGCAGACTCCACTGCTCAAAGGACCTAGAGCTGTGTTGTGGGGAAGGGGTGGGGAAGCCCTCTCGTGATGGTGGGAGTGACTGTAGCTTGACATCTGACCTCTCCTCGCTGCCTGGGCCTTAATGAAGGAAGGGTGCTTCCATGGTGCACCTCACACCAGCTCTGCAGTGGGAGGGGGTTGGGGGGGAAGGGCCCTTCCCAGATGCCTCAGACTACGGGCCTGGGACGAGGAGGGCAGCAGTTCAGGAATGGAGGGTTGGGAGGCTGGTGCCCTCCTGATTTTCTGAGCGATGTTGGGACGCCTCTTCCCTTCCCCTGCTTCAGTGTCTTTACAGCTCCACAGTGTAAGGCCCAGAGGTGTATCCTTTCCCCAAAGTACACACAGAACAGCCTGTGGGGCCAGGTTCCCCTTGCCCGCTGTGAGCCTCCGGGAGGTATGCCGGGGCTGAGGAGAATGCAGGAGACGGTCTGAAACCGTCCTCGGGCACATCTCTGCCTTAAAGCAAAGCATTCGCCGAAGCGAGCCTGACTGGCTGAGGAGCTCTGTTCCATCTGTGGGGACTGATCTCAGGGCCTTGCCTGCAGAGTGGGGCCCAGGCCAGGGGCAGAGTGGTCTGTCCACGCGGCTATCGAGACAGGCCCCTGGGCAGGCAGGTTTGCGTCCCGCCTCCTGCACGAGACAGCTCAGGCAGGCCTGTCCGCACACTGACCGCCCAGGTCCGTGCTCTAGCTGGACTGGCCGGCCTGTTTATGTTTTAGCCCCCTGGACAGGCCGGTCCGCCCTCTGGCTGCCCAGCCGGCCAGTCTGAGCTGTGACAGTAAAGAAATGCTGGCTGGAATATGGTTACTAAGCCCACAAGACTCAAAAACCAAATACCTTTATTTAGTTATCACTGAATTTGCAAACACAGAAAAGAATATAAAACTTAACTCCTCTGTATCCCTCAGGCTTCTGGGGAGTCCTGACCCAGAGCCGACTGGGAGGCTTGTACAAAGCGCCCCCGGTGACCCTGCCCCTGGGTCCCGGCTGGCTCACCCACCCAGCGGGAGGCCGGCCCATATGTTTCCAAGGGCCCGGGCG